ATGGAAACCATGGAAACTGAAAGCAATGTTAAGAAGGGACTACTGTTTCTTAGTTTGTGAAAAAAATATAGACTGCAACAAAATGTACATATAAGTCATATAAATAAGCCCTTAAAACACTATTCTCTCAATTTAGATATAACACTTTCCATTTTTCCTGCTGGATTGAAGCAACTAATTATATCCAATATTAATTTTTCATTGCAGTAATAGCTAACATTCACTGACTGCTTATACTTTGCTAGAAAACATTTTTAGCTCACTACATGTTGATCTTTCATTTTGTGATCACATAAATACTATACAGAGCTTAGCATCATGTTTTATTTATGTAAGCATTGAATTTAGAAGAGCTAAATACCTTTCCCAAGTTACAAGACATGTACATTTGTTTATATGATTAATTAACACAATTCAGCCCCAGTCATTATTATTTATATTATATTTGGCCTTTACAAATAGCTGACGCCAACTTCCTCCAGGTCTAGGTGTTGGCAAAGCATCTCTAAATTACTGCCACTGGTATTGCATAGCTACTCAAATACAAATCACAGTTTCCTTTGTGTGTGTACATTCTTTCACCGTCAACACACAAAGTTAGAGCCCAAATAAAAGAAGTCTTGAAAGATCAGGCCATTAACAATTAAGAAATGGTAATGGTATAATACTTTGTTATTATCTGGAGTGTTGCCTTTTTACTACGTTAATAAGAATAATTTACATTTTATTAGAGTCTAGTAACATTCTCTGGCTTTCCTCCTATATGAGGATGGGCAAGTGCAATCAATCTAGCTGGTGAAAAGGATCACCACCACAGCAGAGCAGGGCTCAGATAAGCATTGCACTTCACTTGCGAGCTGAAAACACACCACGGTATAATCACGGTATAATGACATACCTTGCTCTTGTCTTTTGTCTTTGCTCATTTTATTTCTCCTATTTAGAATCTATTCTCTCTCCTCTTTTTCCCATCCTCCCCTTCTTCCTCATGGCCAAGCTGTTCCAGTCATCTGAGATGTCTCTAAACCTAAAACCTTATAATAGTCTATATTTTTATCACAAACTAAGAAATAGTAGTTCCTTTTTGCCATTGCTTTCATTTTCCATTATCTACATCCAAGATAAATGAAAAATATTAACATTCTTAACTCATTCAGCTCTTCTGAGTAGCATGATAGAATCTTGCATTGACCTGATCCATACAATTCAGGATGCTAACCACTCCTTTGTCCAGCATATCATGCTACATAATACGTGGCTGGCCCTCTGGGGCCCATTAATCTGGTAGGAGCTGCCTGGCTTTTCTGGGCAGCAGTCAGCAGTCATTGCTTGTGCTTGAGTTTACATTATTTTGCATGATCCCCATGGCACAAAAGAGTAGCAATGCTGTCAACCCATTTTATTGCACTATTTCGTTATAATTGCTTCATGTTCTGTTATTAATTACTTTGATCCTATTATACATTAATCATGAATTAAACTTTATTGAAGTTGTGTAAATGTATGAGGAAAATCCACTGGCAGTGTTGAAATGCACTCCAGGCAGATAGGAGAACAATTGCAATTAAATATTTAGTGTGTTTACTTTGCCTTTTCTACTAGATTACAAATTCTCAGAGATCAAAGTACATATATCACATATACTAGTTATAGTCATACTAACTGATAGAAAATAATAAGCATAGTTGTATGTTGAATTACTTACTGAAACTTAGCAAGTAACAGATACTTTGAGGAGTCACAGACTTTGAAAACCAAAAGCTACTCTCAATATTTAATCTACCCACTTTATTTTACATGAAGCCAGAGGGTATTGAGGCTTGATCAAACAAATCTTTATCTTTGGATGCCTAAATTATTAAGAGAAAGCACACTTAGAAAACAGCGGGAGAGAAGTTACCCTTTCTAAATAGTTTAGAAAAGTATAGCCAGTTGCATGGCTATAATAATCTACTGTGCTGGGGTGAGGAGCTCTAGTAAGAAAAGTACAGTTTCTCATTGGAGGAAAAAACCATCTCACCTATCTCTTTAGCATGGTTTAAGAGGATCCCAACTCCCTAGGGTGGTTCCTTGGCCAGGTGATTGGCCCACCCCAAGTAGGATATTAGGTTTCTACTGAGCCCCCCCCCCTTTTTTTTTTTTAAAGTTTTTTTGAGACAGTGTTTCTCTGTATATCCCTGGCTGTATGGCTGTCCTGGAATGCTCTATAGACCGGCTGGCCTTGAACTCACAGAGTTCCCCCTGCCTCTGTCTTCTGAGTCCTGGTATTAAAGGTGTATGGGCCTTTATTGCTACTCTAACATATATGAGTGAGGGTCAACTTAATAGTAATAACAATAATTGTGTTTTTCTTCATCCCTCCCTCTCTTCCTCCTTTTTCCCCTTCCTCATTTTCTTCTTTCTTCCTTCTCTGTGTGTATCTGAGAAAACATAGCAGTATTAGGGTTGCAATCCCATTTGCATGCTGAGCCTATGTTCCACCAACTTATCCACATCCCTTTGTATACATGCTTTATTTAGCTTTGTATGGATATTACATAATACCAAACTATTGTAGCGGAGTGTGTCTCAATTGTATTAAGAATACCTGTGCTGGAGTCTGGGGAGATAGCTCCCACTGAGTAGGAGTACTTGATGTCCAAGCAAAAGACCTGCACTCTGATCCCTAGCACCCATGTAAAAAGCTAGCTATGGCTGCACAGATCTAGAATCCCAGGATGATGAGGAGTGGAGACAAGGGGATCACCAGGTTAGTGAAAGATCAAGTGTCAAAGGAATAAGGCAAACACAATGATGGAGTGTGCAATGCACATATATCATATACACAAGAACATTACCTTGAAAATAATTTTCCTAATGTCCTGCTGGTACAACACTCTCAGTACTTGTAGGGCTATCCATCCAAGTGCGAGAACTGAAAGGCATGATTTCCAAAAGGAGAAAAAAATAATTGCCAAGTTTGATCTATAAAGGATCTTTTGATCTTTATAATTTTATTAGTAATTAAAGTTGATTATTATTTCACAACATCCTTTCTCTTATCAAATACCAGAAGAAAAATCAATGTTATTTATTTACTGTTTTTTTCTAAAAATCTCCAAGATGCTACATCAAGGAAAAAGAAGATACCATTTAACTATCACACAAAAGTTATGCAGTCACAAAGCTTGAAGTCCCATATCTATGTGCTGTCATCCCCAAAGTGAAAATCCATAGACTGCTGATGCCCACAGGGGCCATGGGGACCTTAGCATGATTTGGTGGAAACCCCTACTCTCTGCCTATAAAACTCTTTTCCTGTGAGCTCTGGGATATTTCCTTCCCTCAGTCAACAAGCTTTAATCATAGTTAAGTCTTGGTACTTGCCTCTGCAAGGGTCCTACTTGGTTTAGTCAATCCTTTATCCCATTGTCTCCAAGTCTTCCAACATCTCCATGCTTTCCATGAATCCCATCAGCTCCTTCGGTTTTTAATTTTCAACAACCAGTGTTAGAAAAGGAGGGGGTAGACAGTGATATTGCCTTGTTTCTGTCCATCCAAGCTCAGCAGAACTGCTGTCCTGCTTTGCTCTATCCCAGTTTTAAAAGCTGGTCAGCTCGTCCTTCCCAGTGTTCCTTGGCATCCCATTTATCCCCCAGTCTTTGGAGAAATCTAAATGTCTCTTGTATAGGCAAAACCTCTCATTCACAAAAGCCCTGTTGTAAAATGTTAATGTTAACCTTATCTAAAAATAAAACTGCACTCCATAGGTCCTCCCACACCTACCACTAAACCTCTTTCTTCTCCTTTTCAAAAGCCAAACTCTTCAGAAGGATTCTTCATTCTTACTGTTTTCTTCCCTCACACACAATCCAGCTGGGTCTGAATTTTGATGAGCCACACTAAACCAAATCCTTTCTCCTTACTGGAAACAGATGTTTGCAGGTGTTACAGGACACAGACCAGACTTTGGCAAGTTATCTAACTCTAAGCTCAATGTGTTCTTTAGGATTTTACCTGCCTTCACAGGCCATCTCATAGCCCCTCTCCTTTGCCTTCTGTCCCCAGGACCCTTCTGATTGAAGCCATTTGCTTTTGAGTTTCTCGACCATCCTCCAATTGCAGACGTCTAGTGAAATACCACTTCCTCTGGGAAATCATCCCTTGAGCCACCATATGAGGTCATCTCCTTCCTTCTCAGGACTTATCTTTATTTGTAACTTTAAATTTGTACAAATGTTTAACTTCTGTCTCTGCAGAATAATTTATAAATGAACGTTTTACCTCATCTCTTCTTATTACATTATTCATACCCAGTCCTCTGTCAAGTGCCTACTCAACAAATAATTGTTGAGTGAGTACATCCAGCTTCAGTAGAATATAGAGCATCCTTCAGTAATGTGTGGGTTCTGCTTTGGAACATTGCTGTGTGGCTGTCCTCAGTGTGTAGAGCATCACTCAGACTGTGCGACTTTAAAGTCAAATATTGCTGCCCAGTCTTCTTTGCTTAAAGTTACTTAAGCTTCCTAGTATCAGAGAAGGAAAGCATCAGAAAATGTGTATTTTATTACAGATGCTAGATCCCAGTGGCTCCTTGATTGCCCCAGAGAGACATCCTTATCCTCCACCAAGGTTATTCCCTGAGTTAAAACAAGCAAGCCTTGGAAGCTGACTCAAATGAGGGAGGAAAGAGTACTTGTTTTGTAAACACTTTCCCAGGAGATCAAGGCAATTATCCATCATTATTTGGCAAACAGGGTCAATTAAAGGCATTCACATGTAAAATATCCCTTCACAAAACCCGCTCTCAGCCTCTTGACAGCCTTGGGAGAGAAAAGACTTTAGACCCTTGAGCAAGAACAGTTGCTGGCACTTTCTGTGTTCTCAAGTGACTTTCTTATAAGCTCTATAAACAAGACTACTGCTTCTTTATCACAAATAAAGGTAATACTTCCACAAATGGCTTTAATTACTTTCTAGATTGTAGAGAAGAGAAGATGGGATAAAAAACGATAAGAGAGCCAACATGGACACCCTGGGAGGTCACTCTCCCTGGGCTCTGTCCTAGTGTCCTAGGGGAGCATAGGGCCCTACTGGTGATGTATAGTCCCTTTCTACAACGTTGGAGATGAAGCTGGGCTTCAAGTCTGTGCCTGCATATTCCTACAACTTCTCAGAGTCCGGTGGACCATACTGGGGAGACAAACCATGCAGGAAACAAAAAGTTGAGGAACAAAATAAAACAAAACAACAACAAAATGATGAGAAAAAAAATATGCTATTTTCCTTGGTCTTTGGAGTCTTCATTATTACAGGAATATAATTACCTCCTTCAACTGTGTGATGATTAAATTACTATGTTTCTTTTGCTAAAAGTTTACTGGTTGCCTTCTAAACTGTGAAAATTTATATATGCGTATCAATAAGATAATAGAAAATCTGGATTAGCCCAAGAGTTAAAACAAAAGCTTTGCAGAAAGCAGTTTGTTTCTTTTCCTCTGTACAGAAGAGGATTGTAGTTCAAGGTATATTCATTTCGCATATTCATCACTGCAGTGGAAATATTGTCTTCAGTGGGGATTTTTGGAGAGGGTGGTGTGTGTTTCCTCTCCCTCCGTCCTTCCCTCCCTCCCCCCCCCCCAGTTGTTTTTTTGATACATGGCCTTTCACAGTAAACCATTCTGGTATAGAATTACTGTGTTGCCCAAGCTCACCTCAAACTTGAGGCCAGCCTCCTGCCTTGGTCTCTGAAGGACAGGGGGCACATCACTAGGAGTCATCATGCTCATCTTTAGTTTTTAAAAGAAAAAAAAATATGCTCACACAGTAGAAACTACAGTTTGGTATGAGGCTGTAGTTCAGTGCCAGAGTGCTCACCCAATACACACAAAGTGCTGAACTTAATCCCAAACACTAAGAAGAAATAAAAATAAAACTGTCATGAACACTGTATTGAACATCTTTGAGTTTTATTGCTAGGCTCTATTTTTAATAATGCTCTAAGTAACCTGTAAAATATAATCTCAATCTTTTTCAGAGCATTTATTAAGGCATTGGGAAGATAAAACTCATACTAGCTATAAAACAATATCCATATCCAGAAATTATTTCTCTGTGTATATCAAAGAGAAAAGTATGTTGTGTATGAAATTGTAATTGTTATTGCCTGTAAACACCTATATAACTTTATTTTTTTAAAACATTTTAGTTATTTATTTTTCTTTTTTTTTCATCATCTCTTCTTTTTTGTCTAAAATAAAAAGAAGGGTTTTAAGCTTAACATAGCAAAATATATAAATTCCAGTTCCCTCTCCCTCCCTCCCTCCTTCCTCTGCACCCCCTCCCATCCCATCCCCCCTTACTCCACAGGGACAGTGATGCCTTCTAGGAGGGATCAACAAAATCTGTCAAGTCATTTGGAGGAGGGACTAGGCCCTCCCTCCTTCCTAGGTTGAGGGAGTATCCCTCCATGGGGAATAACACCTATATAACTTTCATAAAACAATCACTAAAATGTACAAAGACAAAACAGGTCAGGACACAATAATAATAGGATACAGCACTGATATAACTTAATGATTAAAAATGTTCTTTGTTTTAGTTTGGACTTTAATATGCAATGCATTTGCATATATTTACATATATGTTTATAATAATATGACTTTTAGTAGATTTTTACTTAGAATGATAGAATTGAAAAGAGTTAATGAATATTAAAAATCTGGTACCATATCATTATTGGAATTAAAGAGGAGAAAATGTAGCCCACCAAATGAAAGATGGAGTTATATACCAAACTGACTACACAGTTGTCTAGTAACATAAACTAGGACAACACATGAAAGTATGATCATTAGGAAATCATTTGTACCATGCTCAAAAAGCCTTAGGACCACCTCGCTGTCATCTGTTCTAGACGCCATTCTGTCTCCACTGTAATCCCTGGGTTTGGTTAAAATTAGAACCTGGGTTTCTTCATACTCAGTTTAATTTTCTTTTTAAACACAACTTGTTATTTAGATGAGTGTTTATGCTAAAGATAGGTATAATGTCAAAGCTCCACACATTTATACTAGCCTTTACCTCAGATCTCAGTCCTTACTTTATGCCCAATGATTAACTTTTTAAATTTTTAATTAAAATGAGATTTTTCTACTATAATATGAAAGTTGACATTAGTATAATTGCAAAAATATACTACTAAAATTTGAATGTACAGTACAGATGAATTAATAGAAATAATCCATTACAATTTTCATTCTCTTCCTATTGATTGCCATGATTTATTTATTTGTTTGTTTGTTTTTCCTTTTATTGAAAATAGACTTTTCCCCTCACGTCCTATACCCTGCCTATGGTTTCCACTCCCTCTACTTCTCCCAGTTTCTCCCCACCTCCCCTCCCATTTGCATCCACCCCCTTTCAGTCTCTCATTAGAAAACAAACATGTTGCTGTGATTTATTGTGTCTACTAAGTTTTTATGTTCTTCGAAGGTATGAGAAAATAATTTCTTTAGGAAGTTTATTGCTTTTCTTTATTTAAAAACTTAAAGTGTACTTGGGAGGCAAAGGCAGGTGGATATCTGTGAGTTTGAGGCCAGTCTGGTCTACAGAGTGAGTTCCAGGACAGGCTCCAAAGCAATACAGAGAAATCCTGTGTTGAATCTGCCCTCTCCCAAACAAAACAAAATGAAAAAATTTAAAGTGAAACATTTTAGTAAGTCATGCATATGTATAAACATAAATACACACACAGAAAATACACCATAAAAGTCAGCAAACAACATCCTTTTTCAAACAGTTATATTTTCAGTACTAATAATAGCACAGCAATACTAACTTTGAAAACAGTAGATAAAAACTGACAAAATAATTGTGATAAAGCTTTGATTCCCAATACATGTTTCTGAGCTCTGTCTCTACCCTCTTCTTCCTTACATCTTGCAAAACCAGAATCCTCCAAGATTTTTTTTGACAAGACTTTTCTACAAAAAGTGTGTTTAAAATATGAATTATTTGCTTTATTATGTTTTTCTACAAATAATTTTCACAAATTAATCAAACATACAGTATATACAATATTATAGAACAAGAAATTATCTGAAATATTCCAGATCTTAAAAAAGTCATTTAAGATGACAGATAAAGTGATGAGTTTTACTCTTATCAGGTGTCCTCTGCCCCTGAATCGATGATAAGTTTTGACAAGCCGTTCTACAAGGTGCCAAATCCTCCATGCTTTATAGCCACTCATTGTCACTATTTTATAGGAATACAAACAGCATTAGAATGTCTAAGATGATGAAAGCACATACATATACACACACCACACACCATACCATACCACACGCCACACCATAGACACCACACACACTATACACATACACACACCATTCTATACCACACACACACATCGTACTATATACATACACACACCTCTGCATACAGATACATATAGAACTTACAGATCTTAAAAAGCACAAGTAAGAACATAAAAACAAAATATAAAGTTATTCCTCAGTTCTAAACCTCAAAGGAACTCAATAGACATTCCCTTAAACAATAAGAGTTGCAGCCCCCCCCCCTTGAACCATTTACCTTTCATGTCTTTACACCAATTTCTCTGGAACTAATAACCTCCTATTATTTGCACACTACATTATCTAACACCTCCAATATCACTGGTGTCCCTCTTTATCTAGGAATGGATGAAGCTAACAAAAACAAGGGTGATAGTGCAGACTCAGGCGACAAAGTGTGGAAGACTTCCTCTCCTTAATAGTACTGCTATCCTCAGGGAGGGAGGGAGGGAGGGAGGTAGGGAGAGAGGGAGAGAGAGAGAGAGAGAGAGAGAGAGAGAGAGAGAGAGAGAGAGAGAGAGAGAACAGACAATGAGACAGAGAACAAGACAGAGACCCGTGACCCGTGGGCATTACTATTTATTACTCATTTTTTTGGGGGGGTGGGGGTTCTAGACAGGGTTTCTCTGTAGCTTTGAAGCCTGTCCTGGCACCTCTGTAGATTAGGCTGGCCTCGACTCACAGAGATCAGCCTGCCTCTGCCTGCTGAGTGCTGGGAGTAAAGGTGTGCACCACCAAAGCCTGGCTTATTACTGATCTTAAAGGAGAGGCCTAATATGTATTTATAACAGCACCAACAGAAAAAGCAGCTGGGTTATGTACACGCAGTAAAGTCATTTGATTAGAAACAAATGACTGAGACACAACTCTCATCCGCATTCGTTTTGAATGTCTTAAATCCCACTATCACAGACTGCCTATAAGGTTTGCTTAACAAAAAGCCGAGAGAGTTGACATTGTTAAACATTCATATATAATTTCATTCAACATTACAAGTCTTGTTAAGTGTGACCCATTACAAAGTAACCAAGATGTACTGTTTCTGCTTTGGGGAGAGACCACCACTGCGCAGGTACCGTTTCCCAGGCCCTATGTTCAGTTGGTGCTTATGGAGGTTAGCACCTGGGATCCCACATGGGACTTAGGATGCCTATGCTCTTCCCATCTTACAACTGAGAAGTATGGAGAAAGGCTGCAGGCCTGACTGCTAGCAAACATCACTGCAGGTGTCCAGAACATGAGGCCTTCTATGTGGAATCCCTACCTTCTGCCGTGCTGTTCACTTCTGGTGGTTGCCTGCTAACGCCCCCACTCCAGCCCGCAAGACTTCTAGAGTTATTTTTAATTGGTTTTTAGTGCCAAATCGCCATACTGTTTGGATAATCATTTTGGCTCCTGCCCCTAAACATCTCATAGCGTTTTACAGTCACAGTCACTGTTAAAATATCGCTTAGATAGTGTTTATCTCTTGCTTGTTTTCATCTATTTCCTTTTGAGATTGCCGTTGTTTTGTAGCTCAGACAGACTTTGTGTCAAGGAAACTTTGCGGGGAAGACAGACACGTAGCTGGTAACGTGAGCTACAGTTGCAGCTAGAGAAATGTATCGACTGAAGCCGCAGTCGTTTTGAAACGCTAAGACAGATTCAGTATATGTTTACTTGCTTTTTAGAACAACAAAAGGCATTTAAAAAGGATAAAGCGAAGAAGAGACTTACCAGGTATATCCAGAAATACTCAGTAGCTAAAAACCAATTCTATACATTTGTGTTTGTTTGTAAACGCAATTAGTTCGGACTGCTCTTTACCTCCCAAGCGCTCAGTCCCACTCAGCTTCAAGGTGCTGAGTTTATAAATGGGACACC